ATCCGGAAAGTTCTCGCTTCGTGATTTGTTCAATACTTCGAACGCGGCTCGAGTCCGTCCCGACCATCTGTCAAAGCCTCGTGCTGCGGGCTCTCGAACTTCGTGCCGTCACCTCTCATTGGTCAGTATTTTCCGTTAATAACTCGTAAGCAAAGCCGCAGATTGCATTTTCGCAAAGGAAAAAGTTACTTCAAATGACCTCATCTATCCCTCATTTTCGGCTGTTAAAATAATTGTGGAACACCCTGTATAGCCACATCACTATAATATAATTTACAAAACTGCACTATTATTTTGCACTTATAAAAATAAGTCCAGTGATCACAACTTTTTTAAAAATACTGAAAATAATTCAAAACAATACTTCATATACACTTATCACACGTTTCTATTTCTTTTACACTAAGCCCCGCAATTAATTTCCTGAGTACAGTGACTTACGCCACTTTCAAAATAAACATGTTTGTTATACCGTTAATTAGCAAAACTTCTCTCGAACAAATCTCAATAGTTCTCAACTTATCGATTGCAAATTTTTAAAAAATGAAAAGATACCGTTCAATTGTAATTAGTGTTACCGTTAACTCGATTTTTTTGAAAAAGTGACTTATGCCACTTTCAAAATAAACGGCTCATATGTATATGGCTGAAGCAGGGACAGAGATCGACTGTAGGTTACGTCGAGATTAAGTGAAATAGAATGAGCATCGCACGATATGCATATAACGGCAATGCGTGCGAATGAGAGAGGAAAGATGGCATGAAAACGTAAACACTTCGCTTTCTTTTCTCACGTCTCCACTCCGCTAAGACGCTTGTCCATAGCTTTGCCCTTCCTTACCTTTGCCCTTGCAAGGCCTGTTGAACAGCTTTGATCTAAGTGATACAAAAAAAACTTTAAACGTGTTTTTTCGACATTATCTAACAGCAGTATAATCTCACAAAATATAAAAATGAAATATAATGTCAACCTGCCAGACTCGAACATAAAGCAAATTCATTATTGTATAGAGATTCTGGTTTGAAGTAGGATTAAATGCCATGACATCAAAGAGCTTAAACGTAGTTTTTTGCTTAGTTCTGGGGTGTGGTCGAGTCGTCAGTCTGTCGACGTTGAATAGAATCAGGAAAGCAAGCTGTTTTTGTTGAATTCAATAGGAAGTTCCAAAGGAACTCCACAGGTAAAACCAGATAAAACTATTCACTGAACTCGTTGTGAACAAAGTACACTGCCTTCAGTCTGACGCAAACATGTATTTACATATTCCCTGAATTGTTATTTACTATTCTGGATTTTTTTCTCTCAAATCGTTGATACTATTTGTCAAATATTTTTCTTGATTACAGCGTTTTCTACTTTATAGAATTTTATATTCTTAACCCTTTGCACTCCGAATTTTATTTCAATTTCATTACCAGCAGTTCCCAACGCTTTTAAGTGTTCTATTCAAAATTTACTTTAACTAATAAATGAGCCGATTTAAATAAAGAAAGAAAGAAACAAATTCACTTAAATACCAGTTTTATTCACACTATTGTCGTATTTTGTAACTTTCAAGTGAATGATATCTCTTGAAACAATTTCCAGGATGCAGTCCTGGTTTTCTTTCGCACGTTTCACACAAAAAAACTAGTTTCTCTTCTTCCTCCAGGTATCCTTCTATTTGAGCAAACTGCATAGTCCTTCTGTTTTCCTTTGGAATGTACGAAAATGAAATGAGGCTTTCCATCTAAACGATCGTGTTTATCATAATTTCCAGGCCTGCCCAATTTTATATTTGGAACACGAGAATCACGTATAAACATCGACAAAATGTTTTCTCGAAATGTCGAGTGGGACTCGACAAAGGAGCTCCTGAGATAAAAGCTGATGTCGAGTCACACTCGCATGTTCTTTTGTATAATAAGCGGTAAACAAGATTGTGACAAAATTTAACATCGCAAAAATATTCGGACAGTGAATGAATTATATTAATTTTATATAAAATGAATATCTTTTTAATCATGTTATCATAATATTAATATTTTGTCGGTTGACCCTTTTGTTTTATTACTTCATGTAATTGCTTGGGCATGTTACAGATGATTTTATTTAAATACTCCGGTGAAATCCGTTTCCATTCGTCTAACAAACGTTGTTTTAACTTTGTTGGTTGTCCTTGTAGGTGTTGTACGAATTTTGCGGCCCAATTGATCCCATCAATTTTCAATCGGATTTAAATCAGGTGATTGAAGAGGAGAATACAGTACTTTTGGACAATTGTATAATAAATATTCCTGTACAATTCTGGCCTTGTGTTTAGGATCATTGTCCTGATAAAACTGAAAACTGTTACGTATACCCATATTTATAGCACTTGTAAATAAATTCTTTTTTAAAATGTCTAAATACTTCATTTTGCTCATAATACCATCGATAAAAACTAGATCACCTACACATACAGACGAGATACAACCCCACATTATTACATTCCCATCACTGTGTTTCAATGTCGGTCTTAAATTTAAAATGTTTAATTCTGTATTTAGTTTACGCCACACACCATTTTTCGTCTATCGGATCCGTAAAGATTAAATTTGCTTTCATCCGAAAATATTACATCATTCCACCATCAGTTGTCTTTGTAAAAATATTCTTTTGCAAAGCTCAATCTTTTCTTGCGATTTGCTTCATTTATGTATGGCTTTCTACGAGGAACTCTTCCGCTGCAGCCATAAGTTTTTAATACCCGTCGTACTGTGTCTTCCCAGATTCTACGAACAACATCTTTGTTAATTTCGTAGCACTTTGTCCAGAATTTTTCTTTATTTGTTTTATTATCTTGCGTTGGTCGCGAGAATCTAATAATTTTGTACGACTTTTCTGAGGGATTAAATCGATTCAATCCTCACGAATGTACCGACGTGTAATATATCTGCCACACTACTCTTGCTTATATTTAATAATTTGGCTGTATCTCTGTATGATTTTCCCTTTTCCTTATGATAAATAACCAATTGTCGGATTTCAAAAGACGTATTTCTTCCTTTTCGTCCCATTTTCACAAGTAAAGCGTCTGATATCACCAATAATTTCTGTGGCACCGAGTTCTCACAACGAATTTTTATTTGCTTATAAAATTTGTTTATAAACAATGTATGTTAGCGGCGTCGTCAATGTAGTACAGTATTTTACTCTGGCATCTGAGATGTTGTATCCGAATATTTTTGCGACGATAAATGTTGTCACAATCGCTTATTATACAAAAGAACATGTGCAATAAATAAACAAAATTTATATTTCTACTTACTTTAAGAAGTGCTTTACTATATGATAAACAATTGATTCAATAATGCTATCATAAACAGTAAAAAGTAGCAATAATTTTTCTAGTAATATCGTGTCCGAATATTAATGCGAGTCACTGTAGGAGTGCAAAGGGTTAAAACGTCAACAATATTTTTCTTGAGCTCGGATACAAACAAAACACAATGTAGGATGTTGTCAGTAGCTATTTTGTAAGCAATAATCTTTATGATTGTACTTATCGCTCAACGAAGTAATGCGACATTACGTAAACACAGATGGCAATTCTTTGTAGCTGTCATGGAACGAAAAATATTTGGATCTAAAATAATTTTGAGAAAATAATAAAATATTAAGCATAAATTGCAAATAAGATAACTAAGTTATTTAAACAAACAGATCTCCATGCAAATTCTGAATGAATTCTTGAATAATTATGAATTTCGATTTTCTGCTAATTCGAATAATATTATTGTTTATCTTTCGATGTAAATAGTTATAAAAAAATAAAAAGGATATGAACAGAGTTTTATTTATGTAAATAAATAAATAGTCTGGTATTGCGACTGCTTCTTTCATGACCAAAACATAGGTTACATCATTTAGCTAGGGAATCCCCTAATTATTTCGAGTGTTCTACTTAAAGAGCTTATTGATTCGGTAAATTATTCAGTTATCAATGGACCGTGAATAAGTTAAATTCGCAATTAGCAGTCTACAACTGCCCATCGTGTTTCTCTTATACAGAGTAAAATAGATATTTTATACAGCATACTGGAATTGTATATCGCATACTTTGCATAATCATTGAAAAGGGGTCCAAAAACATGGACAAAATATCCTAATCAAATATTGACCTCTAACTATTTTACGAGAACGTTAAATTTAATTATGACGTTTTTTTTTATATTGTACATTGCAGATTCAGTTCGAAAAACTTTAAGCTGCTTAAAAAGATAAGATGACTTTTCGAAAAACAGCGAACCTAAACAATGGAATTTAAAAGGAAGATCTATAATGGCTGGAATTTCATTCGGCATCACTACGAAAATAAAGAAATATAAATCAAGTAATTAGAATTAAGAATATTTAGCTAAATGTTATTCTATGTCCGTAAAACACTGTACAACAAATTTCTCTGTTTTGATCTTATTTAAATAATTTATTTCTCTATACTGGAAAACGATATTTTTGCAATATTGCTTTATAAAACGACAATATAAATGGTGCTATAATTGAATTATTTGTCTCGTTAATACTATGTAACATACAAATAAGTTCTGCTTAGAAATTTAAGATAACCGATAATAACACTTTTCATGTCAATGGTTATCGGTTTGGGTTTCGACACATGAAAAACAGCTACATATAGTTTCTTGCCCCCTGTGAAGATTGCTTTTATGATTAGTAGTAACCAGGGAATAGCTGAGTCGAACAACCACATGACGCGATTAGCGCAAGTCTATAAGTAAGACGATTATTTCCGTTAATATTTCTCCTACTAATTACTTTTTCTAAAAAATATCCATCTTTCAATTTTTGCTATTATTTGTTTAATCACTTTGTGGCATAAATGTGAAGAAATAAATAAAAATCAAGAAACCATGCAGAAATCATAAAATTTATTACTCCGTAAATGCAATTAAAGTGTAATTATTAGTGAAATCATTTTGACGCATAAATGTGAAAAAATAAACTAACTATAAATATTAATAAATCATTATCAACGTAAACAGCAGTTAATCTACTATTTAGCATAAAGATCATATAAAACGCATGCTTAATAAATTATAATTTGTCAATATTAAATAAATTGAGAATCACTGCAATACAGAAGCTGCCGAAAAAAATCAAAGAACGAAATTGAATGTACAGTAAATTCTCCTTAATTGACGCTCAGCTTATACACAAAAATGGACAATTTGGGAAAAGGAGATACGATTATTCGAGCCTTGCGGCTCGTTTTTATAGTTACCGATTGTCACAACTATAAAAACGAGCCGCAACGCTGGAATAATCGTATCTTCTCTTTCCAAACTTCCCCTCTTCCCCACCGCTTTCCTCTACGTAAATAACCTACACACTGATATCTCCACTAATGCATACATACACATGTTACAGCGACTGTAGTGATCGTCAATAAACCGGTTGCCTATACTAACTCCATTCATTTTAGCATCGACGATCTTCCGGTAAATTTCTCCGGCACGTGCATACGCATTCTTCAGTTTACACGTTATATATAAATAAATAAATTGCAATCAACAGTGATTTCTTCTGTGGATCTAGATTTTTCACCAGAATTATGTCGACGGACGTGCGAGGTGTCGTCTTGTCTGGGACCGAATTGGCAAAGTAAGTTGCATTCTTTTCAACTATAGATACAACAAATTCAAATTTACCCATGCGTATTACAATAATTCCTTCTTTATTGAAGTTTATTATTATTTACAGCGTACATTTTTAAATTCAATTCTACATGTTTTTGTCGATTTCCCGCAACAACCGAGCAGAGATTTTTAAAATCATTTTTAACTTAATATTCAAATTTGCTGTTCAATTATCAACTTAGAGGGATCGATAATGATCGATGCACTGACCTGAACTTCAAAATCGAATTAGAGATAAATCGTTTTAAATTCTCGAAAATGTTTACGTGCATGCACGTTGTAAATGTGAGGTTATGCTTGCTTTTAATCTCGAAATTATATGATCTTAAAATTATATTTATTGCAGCAGAATGCATAACTGCGCATGCCTACATATTTATATAAACTCGTACAAGTTTACGAATCGATTAATTTATATTACTCTCGCGAAACGAGATTGCCCATAGAAAGGCCGCGAATTTTGAATTTTCGCATAATTCGAAAATTCACATAACTCCTGCAGGGCAGTAGGAATATGATTT